ATGCCCAAAACAACCAAAAAACATTGAAAATCACTAAAATATGCCCGACAGACCCTGTCCGCGGCGGGAGGTCTCCCGTGGAGAATCTGGCCCCGATTCCCCACGGGAGACCATCCGCCGCGGACGGGGCCCGACACCATGCCAAACGGGACCTCCAGGGGCGGCGAAGGCCCGACACCATGCCAAACAAGACCTCCGGGGACCAAATTTTCGGGGCGTGACCCATGACACCATGCCAAACCTCGGGGAGAGGCGCCCATGGGCCCGACACCATGCCAAACGGGACCACCGGCCAGAAGCGCCCCTGGGCCCGACACCATCCCAAACGGGACCTCCCGAGACCACGTTTTCGGTGCGTGACACCATGCCAAACGGGACCTCCGGGGAAGGCGCTCGTGGGCACGACACCATGCCAAACGGGACCTCCGGCGAGAAGCGCCCATGGGCCCGACACCATGCCAAACGACCCCCCCGCCGCAGACGGAGCCTTCGGGGCCTTCGGGGAGCCCCCAATGGGCCTGTCCGCGGCAGAAATAGCGTCTGCGCCCGGAATAGCGTCTGCGCCGGGAATAGCGTCTGCGCCGGGAATAGCGTCTTCGCCGGGAATAGCGTCTTCGCCCGGAATAGCGTCTTCGCCGGGAATAGCGTCTGCGCCGGGAATAGCGTCTTCGCCGGGAATAGCGTCTTCGCCGGGAATAGCGTCTTCGCCGGGAATAGCGTCTTCGCGGGAATAGCGTCTGCGCCGGGAATAGCGTCTTCGCTGGGAATAGCGTCTTCGCCGGGAATAGCGTCTTCGCGGGAATAGCGTCTGCGCCGGGAATAGCGTCTGCGCCGGGAATAGCGTCTGCGCCGGGAATAGCGTCTGCGCCGGGAATAGCGTAATATTCCCCGGGAATGGGGATCCCCGCCGGGAATAGCGTCTTCAGGCACATTTGCGTCTTCAAACGGAATTGCGTCTTCAAGCGCATTTGCGTCTTCACCCTGTGGTTGCGCAATTGCGTCTTCAAAGCGATTAGCGTCTTCACCCGCTCGACCGCCCCTGGCCAATAGCGTCTTTCAATAGCGTCTTCGTCTTCAGGCCTTTTGGGGAACCCCGTGTGCCACCTCAATGTGTATATATATATATATATGTGCATGCGCACATGTGTATCCACACCTATATGAACTATAACCACGCACGCCCTTCGCGCGCTTCAGTTCTAGCAAACACCCACCCTTGACAATTTCACATATGTACGCATGTACGCACATGCCCAAACATGAACTGGCCTGCCAAAACCGTCGAATACGCCGCGGCCGGTGTCGTGAGTCGGAACAGGAGAGGTTGAGCCTGGGCGGCTCCCTGAGTGGGAAAATAGGAGCCTCCAGCTGGGCCCGCCCTCTGATCCCCCCCTTGGGCCCACCTGCCCCCCCTTCGCGAAGCCCCGAAGCGCTCAGGCGAAAACTCGGGCGCCAATCGCGCCGTATCGCCAATACCACAGCAAAAAGGCGCAACGTGCCACCTCCTCCTGCTACTCCTCCTCCTCTTCCTCCTCCTCCTCCTCCTCCTCCTCCTCCGCCCCCATCCGCCTCCTCCGCCTCCGCCTCCTGCTCATCATCCGCCCCCTCCGCCCCCTCCGCCTCCGCCTCCTCCGCCTCCTC